GAGCTTCCTTCGAAAATGGATACCGAGATGGATACAAATAATCTGAAATAGTGATGTCGTGCCATCTATAGCTATTGCTTTGAAAAATGTATCAAATTATGGTTTCTCATACCCAAAACCCCAGGTTTCAAAATGTTTATGTATTCATATTGAAAAATGAAGTAAATGCGAAAAATAAATTTTGATATTTCTATCTAGAATTTTCAATTACGATTTCCTCGAAACTTTGATTTTTCAGATGTTGCCAGGGTTTGAAAATTTTTGCGTAGATTATTTGCTATTTCGTTTTTTATCGTATTACGTTGGCTGCAATTGCTTATTATGTTAATTTGTTGTTTATCGACTAGTAATTTATGTAGTGCGTGTGTGTATCCATCTATAAAACAGTTTTATTTCGTATTTTCTCAGACAATATTTCATCATTATACGACGACAGCGTTATTGTTTCAGCAACTGGGCAGCTCCCAATTAAACGTCTGTGATTCCAGAAATACTTTGATCAGTTTGTCCATTATTTTTGTTCACCGGGAACTGCATTCCCATAAATTTACAGGGAAATTTTCTTAAATTTGTATTCGATTTGTATACATCGGTACAGGGTGGTTCGAATTCATTGAGATCTCGTAAATCGTAAGACATACAGGGTCGGTTAGATCATGGCAAAGTTGCGCGATTTTATGCCTAACAAAGCTGAGCTATCACAAATCTTTATTTTGAAACTCGTATCTGAATTTTCGTTTAAAAAAATTGACAATTTCGCATTGAATTATGAATAAAAAAAAATATACATAGTTATTTATTATACAAGAGGCAAAAGTTGTAGATTTTAGCTCCAGGTTGTGTGTCGTTGCTAAAATCTTATATTTTTCCCGTGTATAATACACTATTTTTTTCTGTAACAGGAGAAAGGACGAGTCAATATTGAGATGGTATTACATTATATTGAAATAAGAAAATTATCGACGTGAAAGTCGAAGTTTTTAACAGTATGGGCACACCTGCGTTGTAGGCATCTTTATCATTCTTTTGAAGTAATCGAATAGCTGTCAGTTTAATCCTGTGATTTGATTTTCAAAAATTGCGAATATAGTGGTTGTTTAGTAATTTACGTAATCGCGACGTCGAATGGAAAATGAAAGGACTTGCAGTTCTTTCTCGTGTTATTGGCTTATTTTTGGGAACTATGGCACAACAGAAGTCATCAACAGAGTTTTTTTTTCATCGCTTGGAGCGCACGAAAGGAAATCCCATGGGAAAAAAAGTAATTCATGAAAAGTGACATTTTATAACCTGTCAACAGAGATGGAATTTCAAACTTTCTTCCGTCACAGAAGAAATATATTTGTTGTTGCTGTTCAGCTTTCATTAGTTGTCACAAGTGTCAGGAATAGTTTGACATATATACTGTAAGATTCTAAATGAAGGCATCGTAGATAGACACAATTTCATCACTCAAACACATTTTTATTCACTCAGGACGGCTTGTACAGGGTGATTCACCATAAATGTCCCCCCCTCTAGCTCACTTATTTTTGAACCGATTTGAAAATTTGAAAAATCATCTGAAATGATTTTTCAAAATTTTTTTTCCGTTGCATCAGAAAATACAGGGTGCTCGGAACAAACGATCTACAGAGTACTACTTGATTTTTTCAAATAGAACACCCTGTATTTCATTGAATTTTCAGATTCATTCATGAAGAGCTGATTTCATCAATGCATCACACTTGGGGTCTAGCGGGAATCTTTACAGAGATATAGGGTGTTCAGAATCGAGATTTCTCAAACTTTAGGATTTTTTTCTGTCGAAACTATTCATCATTGGTCAAAAAGGTTTTCATGTCCCCATCTCAACTTTTGATTTACTATCTAGTGACATTTAATTGGATCATTTACAGGGTGGTTCAAGATTCAGAATTCTGATCACCCTGTATCTGTTCCCATTATTAAATGTCAGTAGATAGTAAATCAAAAGTTGTGGTACGGACATGGAAGCCGTTTTGACCAATAATGAATAGTTTCGTCACAAAAAAATCCCAAAGTTGGAAAATCTCGATTTTTAACACCCTATATCTCTGTAATCATTCCCGCTTGACCCTGAGTGTGATACATCGATCAAATCAGCTCTTCTGGGAGAATCTAAAAATACAATGAAAAATAGGGTGTTCCATTTAAAAAAAATTAAATAGTACCCTGTAGATCGTTTGTTCCGAGCACCCTGTATCTTCTGATGTAGCAGAAAAAAACTTTTTCCGTCGACCTCGTATTAACGACTAAGTTTAATGTATATGAAATAGTTCATTAATGACCCCTATTAATGGACGATTTGTCTATTAATGCACGATTGTTTTATAGGCAACCAATCATACACCGCGTGCATTCATTGTTTATGCTATAACTAGCGGAATCTGCATTTAAATCGAAAATATGGATTTCATCGACGATCGAGTCGACGATTTTCCGTTAACGGGTTCGCCTTTCCAAGTTTCTGAAACGATTTTAATCCCTGTTTTCTAACACAAGGAATTTATTTCCTATGTTGATCATTTCGACAAATGTCAAATAACACTAATGTCAGTAACAAGGCTACTGGGTGATTTTTAGCAGTTTCCGGATGGATGATGAATTCGCGAACCAAGTTTTCTTCATTGCAGGAGAAATGAGAAATATAGTCGACGGAAAAATGTTGTAACCAACTTGTATATTAAAAGGCGATTAATGATCTCGAACATTAACGCACTCGCTTCGCTCGCACGTTAAAATATCTCGATCATTAATCGCCCTCATTAATACACTAGTTGGTTAAATAACTATTTCCGTCGACCTCGTATTAACGACTAAGTTTAATGTATATGAAATCGTTCATTAATGACCCCTATTAATGAACGATTTGTCTATTAATGTACGATTGTTTTATAGGCAACCAAACATACACCGCGTGCATTGTTTATGCTATAACTTACGGAATCTGCATTTAAATCGAAAATATGGATTTCATTGAAGATTTTCTGTTAAAGGGTTCACCTTTCCAAGTTTCTAACACGATTTTAATTCCTCTTTTCTAACACAAGGAATTTATTTTCTATGTTGATCATTTCGACAAATGTTAAATGTCACTAATGTCAGTGACAAGGCTACTGGGTGATTCTTAGCAGTTTCCAGATGAATGATGAATTCGCGAACCAAGTTTTCTTCATTGCAGGAGAAATGAGAAATACAGGGTGTTTCAGACTTAAATGTACATACGATACTTGTAGATAGAGGACACTGCGGTGGTTCCAAATCACCCCCCATCGATATGTCTACCGTCTTTGATAACTGAGATACAGGACGTTATCTTGATATTGGCAAAATGTTCATCTGGTTATAACTTCTGAACCACTTTGTATAATCTATCCATTCTTGGTAGAAATATTTCACTCATATAACCCATCAAAACCAAATGAAGATCCGGATCAGAATCCAGGTCCGTCTTGGGGAAAAACAGAAAACTCCTTTTATCTCAAAAACAACACTCTGTATGGCAAAATTTTATTGATCGGTTTTGATATTTGGAAAGAGCGGAAAAAAATGAATGAAGTGACCTACTTTTTACGAGTGCGCATCCAATTTGAAAGATGGTTTATTATCATGTTTTGAAATATTCAGCTTCATTTCGAGGCATTTTTATTGAACTCATAATTCAAAACCCAATTTTTATACAGAAAAATAACAGTCCTCAAAGTTCAACATCAGTTGAGTCGAATTAGGTGAACTATCGATAAATTTGTTTGTTTGACGGAATAATTTGTCGATGATTTCAAAAACTTTCGAGGACTCATTTTATACTTCACTATTTATTCATAAGCTGCGGTAAAGTATATTGGTAAAGTTATTGTAGGCACAATCATAAACACTTTGAAATGTAACAACCCAATACAAGCACCAGAAATAATTATCTCAACATTACCAATAACATCACACTAGTGATTATCACCTGTCAGAATATCAGATTTTTTTGCACAGCCTACTTAACCGCAGCTCGTGAATTGATAGTGGAGAATAAAATGAACCCTCAAAAATGTATGATACCATAAACAAGTGATTCTGTCACAACGAATCTATCGATAGTTCACCTAATTTGACTCTAATGATGTTGAACTTTGAAGACTGTTATTTTTTTGTATTAAAATTGAATTTTGAATTGTAAGTTCAATAAAAATGACTCGAAATTGAGCTGAATATTTCAAAACTTTATAATAAACCATCTGTCAAATCAGATGCGCACTCGTAAGAAGTTGGTCACCTATCTCATTTTTCCCGCTCTTTCCAAATATCAAAACAGACCTACAAAATTTTACCATACAAGGTGTTGTTTTTGGGATAAAAGAAGTTTTCTGTTTTTCTTCAAGACGGACCTGGATTCTGATCCGGATTTTTATATGGTTTTGATGGGTAATATAAGTGGAATATTTCTACCAAGTATGGACGAATTATACAAAGTGGTTCAAAAGTTATAACCAGATAAAGATTTTGCCAAAATCAAGATAACGTCCTGTATCTCAGTTATAAAAGACGGTAGACATATCAATGGGTGGTGAATTGGAACCACCGAAGTGTCCCCTATCTACAGTTATAATTTGTACATTTAAATCTGAAACACCCTGTATAGTCGACGGAAAATTTTTGTAACCAACTTGTATATTAAAAGGCGATCAATGATCTCGAACATTAACGCGCTCGCTTCGCTCGCACGTTAAAATATCTCGATCATTAATCGCCCTCATTAATAAACTAGTTGGTTAAATAACTATATCGAAAATCATTTGAGATGATATTTCAAATTTTGAAATCGGTTCAAGAATAACTGAGCTGAAGGGGGGGACATTTATGGTGAATCACCCTGTACAAAGATGACCGTTCATAAAATAATCATATGAATATAAGATGATATTGGTCCTAAAACAGATCCTCGAGGAACGCCTTCAATAAACGAGTAAATCCAGCGTTTCCCTTTCCAGAGTCCAGCCACCGTAACGAATCCGGCTCCGGTTATTGGCAGCTGCAGCTCGACCGCGACCTGGTCGACACGATCTCCTCCATCTACCCGGAGTGGTTCGAGGCGGACGGCATGGCCGACGGTGGTGGGGGAGGGGAGGGGCGGTCGCCGCCGCCCCCCCTGCTGCTGCCGCCCGCCGCTGGGGGCGCGAGGGAGTCGCCGCCCAAGGCCGTCGTCGATTCGTCGCCCATCGTCATCGACCAGAATAAGCAATGTGAGTATATGGATGTAAGACGATTAACCCATTAGGGACTTGATACATTTGCGATAATTTCAACATATTTTTTTTATTTCTGCTTGCAAGTATATTATGAACATCAGTTTATCGAGATATATTCCCTTTTGTCTGCCATTTTCAAAATGGCGGCAGTGCCATATATATGGATCACTAGTCCTTTGACATGTGGAAAATGGAATGAAATATGGACACTTGTCTCCAGCTCGAAATATAATATATTTCCATAATTCGAAAATGAATTAGGTTATTTCGTAAGAAAATGAATTGAATAGTCAAAAAATAGACATACGTCGCATTTTCGACACTATGTGCGAACAGAGCTGCCTGATGATTGTGTCCTAGACATCGTCGGCGTTTATTATTCTGTACATGTTCAACATGGTGATTTCTACAGTCAATTCGAATTTCGGAGTTATTTTGGAATTTGTTGAATATGTTGGTGGTCTTGCCGATGACTTCGTTAAATTGTGGTACTTCTACAGACGGGCTTTCTCTTCTGAAACTCAACTTATACATTTCCTGGAGAAAGGTAGCCACGAGGGGTAAATCACTGAGCAAATTCGTGTACACCGGACTGCCATCTATACTCGGACTGCCAAGACTGCCACCGGACTGCCACGGACTGCCACCGGACTGCCACGGACTGCCACCGGACTGCCACGGACTGCCACGGACTGCCACCGGACTGCCACGGACTGCCACCGGACTGCCACGGACTGCCACCGGACTGCCACGGACTGCCACCGGACTGCCACGGACTGCCACCGAAATGTAATGGACTATCACTCAATTATGTGTTCCAATAAAAATAAAGCTGTTTTTTGGAAATTTCAATTCACCACAAGAACAAAGTTCACGAAAACCGTTCTGACTGAATAAGTACTAGAAAGGCATCCCCGATGGTGATTAACATAGAAGAAATAAATCATCAACCGTGACCTACGATGTGAAGATCTCATTGGAAACCTATGGCATAAGAAACTGATCCGGAAACTATAACATTCCTGTATATAACATAACATATCTCGTTAAATCTACATGAAATGAAGATATTTTTTGAGGTGCAATAGGTGAAGTGGAAATACACGTAAATAGTACAGAAATCCGATGTTTTTATTTTTCTGTCGATTCGCCTGAAAATGTTCGGCACAAAATTTTCGAGGTTGAACAATACGAATTTTGAGTGAAAATTTTAAAATTGATATACTTATTTCGTTCATTCCGTTTGGAAGGTCAAATCAGGATTTGTCTTGGTTCGTTAATATCCCGATAAATACGAATTTTGAATTGTATTTGAGGATTTCAGATTCGCCCCAAAATGCCCGAAATGAAAACTATGGGTGTTTAAAGTTTGAGATATCAGAATTCCGAGTTGAATATTCAAATTCAAACGATTTTGTCATTTCCTTATCAATTTGTCAAAAAATCGTGGTTGAAAAATACGCATTTTGAGTCGCATTTGAGAATTAAAGATGGCGTCCCATAAGATGGCGGACGATTTCAATTTCAATGCATTTTCACATCAGGGTGTCCCATGAGAAAAAGTATAACTTTGATACGCCACTCATTTCAGAATCGCCCTGTATAACGCAAAATATTTTATAAATGTACACCATCTCAAAATTTCTTGTTTATCGATCTCAATCAGCAAAGCCGTTATCTCACTCTCCCACAGTATTGGTTCACCCTGTTCACCTATAAATCGTAACGCACTACCCAGAAAAATCCTCGTTGTACATTTTCAGAAAATTTGACCTTTATCGTAAATTCGTGATTTTCATACTTGAAAATTATTGTCAAGAGTATACAGTGTGACCACAAATATTCTTTCCTGATGTAATTGGGTAAGCTTTTATAACACGTGAAAAATATCGTTGACAATTAATTTATACGGTTTTTCAAATTTTGAAAACATTCCAGAAATACTTGAGTTACAGGCTCGGTTACAGGTCGATACATATATGGTGAATCAGATATGTACAAGGATTAAGGCAGGTATAGATAAACAAATTCTTAAACAGGTACTGCTCCGAGATCTATTTACTTATTGAAATTTTGTGAATTCTTATTGGTTAAATACAGTATAAATACAAAATTGTTAATGAAAAGTAGTATCCTCTCTTATGCAGAAAGAATAATAATATTCTCCTTCTTCATATATATTATCTATATATTAGGTCGAGCTAGGTTAGATTGTTTAGAAAAATTAGTCTCCCTTCTTATGCAGAAAGAATATTTTTCTTCCTCATATTATATATCATGCCGAGTTAGGTTAGGTTGTTTGCAAAAAAAAGTCTCCTTCCTTTTTCGGAAATGATTATATTTTATGTCCTGGAATGAGTTCAAAACATATGAAACTTGATTAAACTACCGTTTTATATGTTCCCTACTTTGCGCGCAATTACAGCATAACCTTTTTGGGCCGTGCGTGCAATTGCACTATGGGATAAGGACGAGGATTAGGACCGAGATTTGGACACACTGTTGAGAATACTGACCGCTGCGCGCAATTGCAGTCCATAATACACAAAATTTGCGTGGGTTTCAACTCTGGAGCTTGAGATCCCCAAGGTGAACTTTTTTAATTCAGGCGATTCGGACAATAAATGACAAAGTTTTCCGTCCCATTGTAGACGCCATCTAGAATTTCAAAACTAACTCGAAAATCATGATTATATACTCCAAGAATATCTGATTTCTTTTCCCCATTATAGGAATTACCTTTCGTGCGCTCCAAGAGATGAAAAAAACTGACGCCTCCCTACAGAAGCCATCTTGTTTTTCAAAATTTGGACTCGGAATTCAAAATTGACAATCTCGAGAACCCCTACGTGTACATTTTCAGGTTAATCAGAGAATAAATAACAAAGTCGCCGCCACCTTGCGAACGCCCTCTTGAATTTTCAAATTTAGAATAATTGTCGGATTACGAGAGAAGAGACGAGAGACCACCAGACTACCACCGGACTACCACCGGACTGCCACCGGACTGCCAAGGACTGCCACCGGACTGCCACGGACTGCCACCGGACTGCCACGGACTGCCACCGGACTGCCACGGACTGCCACCGGACTGCCACGGACTGCCACCGGACTGCCACGGACTGCCACCGGACTGCCACGGACTGCCACCGGACTGCCAAAAGAATGTACACCGGACTGCCCCAGTGATTTACCCCTCGGGTAGCCAGGTGAAAATTGGCTAGCAAAATTCTCAACTTTACATAGCAATAATGTAGACATTTATATTCGCTTCCATCTAGTCTGTTCCTCCTATGTACTCATTGTACTTTTGTATGCAGCGGTCCATTCCATTTTTTGCGCGTTAGAGAAGAATAAACTAATTGTAGCATCTAGCAACAGTAGCAACCACGATTGATGCATCACCGTAGAACATAAGGCGTAATCAAATTCACCAAGTTTTTTCTCTTCATTTATCATCCTCAGTTATTGGACAATAACCTTGTATATCCAAAAATGCGTACTTTCATCATATGATCTTCGATCCGATAAATTACAAAACCATTTCGAGGTCAGACACCAGACATCCTCATGACGAAGTAACACTCCATTATTTCACTAGTAACACAGAGAAAATTATGTTTCATCTACTGAAGACTACATTATTCTCCATTCCATCATTCAGTATTTCTTGTATCCCTCTGGTATAGACTTCTTCAGAATTTTCTGTGTTCGAGCACAATCACATATCCGACGACTATACATACAACGTTGATTTTTCGAAAAAGAATTCCAACTTCCAATTTAATTCGATAAATCGTCGAAAAAATGGATCATTTTGCATGAATATTCATAACACGATTATCAAAGCTCTGAATTTGAAAATTCCAAAAAACGTTTCGAGAGAAAGCATCAATCAAGAGGATACAGGTGAGAAAAAAAATTAAAAAAGTATTTGTTCAAACGGTAAGGTGACGACCACGATGCAATTTTACACCTATTCAATTATCACCCTGTAGCAATGTTGTCTGAAATTACAGAAGTTTCATATTGCCACAACAAACTGTCAAGAGATTAGGCTGATCATCGGTGAAAACCGATTTCAAATTGGTAAGGAAATTCGTGAGTTATTCTACTCTGAATTCAGGCTATATTTCGGACCACGTCGTTATCAATGTTGACCAGTTTATATGCATCATACAGGACGTGAAAAGAAATTCTAAATTGAGAAAACCTATTATTCCAGATTTTTTGGGATTTTCTCTCCTTGTATCTATAAAATGGAAAATATTAATTATTTATATATCAAGGGGGGAAATGTATTCATTTCCTCCCGAGTGTGAAGTTTGATGCACGACGCGTAGCAGATGGCATTAAACACACATGGGAGGAAATGAACCTTTGATCCCATGATATATACAGGGCTTTCATTTAAAAACTTACCACCCTGCATATCTTTTGATCTGCGAAGATTACCGTTTTCGGAAAAAATAGGTCGATTTAGATTTCGAGGGGGAAGTAAAATGCTAGTATCAATTGAAATCTATCAATAATGAAAACAACCTGGTGAAAAATGAATTATTTTGCATACAGGGTGGGTCTTGGGTCCATAGGATTGGGCAAAAAATTATATACCAAAGAAGGGAAGATTTGTTTTTACAGGTATGCACTGATGATGACTCAACAGTCGAAAGCTCTCTGCTACGAATATTGAATAAATTAACTTGCACGAAATACAAATCTTCCCTTCTTTGGTATATACAGGGTGATCCACGGTGGATAGCCTATTAGAAGTATCTGGAGAACGAAAAGACAGAACATTCTGAAAATTGGGATGATTTGATAATTGAACATTCTCTATCTGTCTAAAATATCTTCATCGATACGGTGTTGCCACTTCTATCAGAAACAACTAGCAACTTTGTTATTTCAAATAGAACACCCTGTATTTTATTGCATTTTCAGATTCTTCCTGAAGCGCTGATTTCATCAATGTATCACACTTGTGGTCTAGC